AAGATTGACATATAACATATAAATATTTCATTTAGAAAGGCTACAAATAATTTATATCAACAACAAGGATCAGTGATAATTTACCAACACTATCATGATAACATGTTTAACTTAGCAATAGATTTTCAGTTGAAAGAGTTAGATTCTAGATTTAATGATAGGACATTAGAACTCTTTATACTTAACTCTGTTTTAGCAATAAATCATTTAAAGTTGATACTATTTGCAAACTTGCTGAGAAATATTTTCCTAAAGATTTCAATGAATAAGAGATGTATTATTTTAGGTCTTGGCTACAACATTATCGGATTGATCTGATTCATTATGAGAGCTTTTCAAAATATGTGTCTTTCATTTCTAAATTATATTAAGGATTGATTGAGACAAATAAATCGCAACACAATCATTTGATTGACAAGTTGATTCATTTTATTTTGACTTTACATGTTTCCACTACCACCACTATGAGAGCATTTTCAGCTATGAAGCATGTTAAAACTATGCTTTGCAATAAAATGAAAGAGCTGTTCTTATAAAATTCTAGGATGATTTAAATTGAACGAGAGCTTGTTGAAGATATCGATTCAAATTCGATCATAGTTAAATTATATTCCACAAAATATCAAAGGATGCAAATTCGATAATGTTGCTTTTTTTTACTCCTTTTTTTTTAATTTTATGTTGAATTTTTTAAATATTTTTTTGTTGTGTATTTGATTTGAAACTTTATTGTTAACTTGATTTATCTATATATATATATATATATATATATATATATATATATATGAGTTAATGATTGATCTTGAAAAACCATTATATGTACTTGCTTAATAGATAAGGGCGGAAAAATTCATGACTTTGCCTTGCTTAAGACCTTTTCTTTATAAAGGAAAAAAAAAAAAGAAAAAAAAAGGCAAGTACTCTTACATAGTTAAGTAGAGAGCTTGGTTGCAAATTTTGATAATGTCACAGATGGATTGTTGAAGTTGCTTTCGATTCAAGAGAAATCATATTCTACATAGATAAAAAAAACTTATGTACAAGGTTGTTAAAATCATGAGTTAATTGTAAAATCTTATGATTTTATGAGTCAACATGTGTCTAATGTGCTAAATCGAACTAAAAACTCAAAACCAATAAAATCAAACTTAACTCGTGCAAAATCAGTAAACTCAGTCTGATTTTACGTGTTTATTAAATTTGTGATATGAACTAAGTTAGGTTTAAATTTGCTCTTAAAATGTCTGCTGACTAGTTTTGCAAGATTGAGCATATTTTTCAAATCTTCTAGTGGATAAAGTTGAAATTTTACAAGAAAATATTAGATACATGAAAATATATTGTGGTAAATTTTCAAGTCAAATATAGTTAGGAAACATAATATTTTCGTGGGTTAAATTTGGTACACTAATATTGTCAAATATATTAAACAATACCTTCGTATACTGTTGGGATATATCTACAACTACTGGTGGAATTTTACTTCAATTAAAGTTAGGATAGAAACTAATCATATAAAACTTTCCAACTATATATCTTAGACCTTATAGTTCATCCAAATAAGAAAAAATGATATTTTTGAAATTAGAACTCAAATCTGTCAAGAATATACAAAAATTGAAGATTCAGGCTACATTGAGGAATTTTAACATGAAAACTTTTTTATTATTTATTTTTAAATAATTATTTATAATTTAATTTTTTTCTAGCGCATTAGACATTGTTTAGAAGTTTATTTTATTATTGAATTTATGTTAGTTAATTACTAATTTAAACTTATTAGCTTACAACTCAAAAGGAGTCTATCAAGACTTATTGTGATTAAAACAACTACGTTGTCATTAGATTTATGTATGCTTCCTACCTTTCAATGATTTTCTTGTATTGAAAAATTTTATTATGAGACTTTTTATTTCTTCATATTATTAATTTATTAATTCATATTATCTATCTCTTTTATTTTATTTAGATTACTAATTAATTATAATATTATTGACTTATTTTATTATATTTTAATTTAATTTAATTTCTTGGCTAAAATTATCAATATATAATTATTTAAAAAATTACTTATGATTTTATAATTTTATAATCTAAATATGCTATGAATTTATATTATATTTTTTATATAATGTAAAAAGAATATTTTTAATAACCTTAGTTTTACGGAGGAGGAAAAGATTGAAGTTGTACATGTGATGTGATTGAGAATCCTATATAATATTTACAGGTTTTTTCTATCAATTATATGGAAAAAAACATGTAAGTGTTTTTAGGGCACTGGTCACGAGAATAGCTATTAGTTAGTAGCTAGTCGTAGCTCAATTGATAATTGATGAATTTTGAATTTCAAGATTTTAATGTCTTTTTTTTATTTGGGTTTGAATTTGATTCAATGATAATTATTTTTTATTCATTAAATTTTTTGAATATTTATAATTTATTAGGAAAATAACTATGAAAAAAAATATCAATCCTAATTTATTTTGCCACTCCATGTGAGCTAAAAATGGGAATTAACGTTTCATCCATTTTTCGTAATCCATATGTATGTCATTTCTAGTCCCACATTGTAAAACGTATTGATATTATATTGGAAAATAATTTAAAAAATAGCATCATCTTTTTTTTTTTCAGCAATACATAATATATCATTGTAATTGTAATTACATGGGATGTCTTTAATTTTCGTAGTGATTGAAATTATAATAAAAATTATTTTTTAAAGTTTTTTTTAAAAAATATATCAAAATAATATTTTTTATTTTAAAAAAATTATTTTTAATATTACAATATAAAAAATCAAGAAATATATAAAAAATCATAATTTAAAATAATAATAAAATCATAATTAAACCGCCTTTGACTGGTCTTCGCGCAAGGGGCCGTCCGAACAGGACCACAGCTCCCCCGACCTACAATAGCGGATGCGTCCCTTTCGGCTACGTATCTTTATCATACTGTTCATTGCGTGCCGGCCGTTTGATTAATAAAAAACATTTGTGATTCGATCAAGAGACCAAATGCTGCCACGTCTTACGCCACACTTTGCTCATCCTTCACTGTATCGTTTTCCTTTTTTTTTTTTTTCATGGCGAGGTTTGTAGTTATTTTTCTCTCTTGTGTTTTATGATTATTTTTAAAGTATTTTTATATTAAAATAATATTTTAAAAAATTAATGTATCAAAAGGATATAAAATATATAAAAAAATTATTTTTTTTTAAAACCAAAATTATCCTTAGAATTTCACTGTCTTTATCAATGGGTTGCCGAGCTGACTTTGACTGGATAATAATACTCCAACATCTTGGATGCCGGACTTTATCACTGCAATCCTAGCCATCTGATGGGTTTTCTTCTATTCACAAATATTTTACGAGCAAAAGCAATAATTTTATTTTTAAAAAGAAAATTCGTCATGATTGTTAATAGGCACTACTTGCTATTTATTATCAATTTAAAGCGATGGCAGATGCAATTCGTGTTCCCAGCAGCTCCATTATTTTTCATTTTAATAAATACACAGTTGATTATTTGTGCTATTTTGGACCACACTCCACACATTTATCATACCACCAAAAAATAACTTCTAAAGTGACTGAAAAGCATCCTCCTGAATTTTCCTGTTGTCTTACTTAGCTTCTATCTCAAGGCCCGATCGGCCTTCACAGATCTACTCGAACGAGTATAGTACACTATTTATGTACTTGCTCAACATATAAATACACTGGCAAGAATTCCACGTATGCTAAAATAGGATCCACCCCGTTTGACCAATCTAACGGTAAAAATCATCTAATCAATTCCATCATATCAGACTCGACTTGAAAGATTAGCCAGGTAGGGGAGGTGGAGCCGCCTGACAATTCTTGCTTACAGGATACCAAACATTCTTACGGCAATGAAACCGAACTCGAAGATACCGGCCGGGTCCTGCCGGCAAATGATGACATGGCATCCATGCTGACGTGGTCAAGAAAGAGTGCCTAGTCAAACTCAAAGTGGCTTTGGACATTTTTTGGGTAACTGAATCGTAACTGCCATTCCGATTTACGGGGCCTTGGCTATATATATATGGTTTATGCTAGCATGTGAGGTTAAAACTTTGATGATTTCTACCCTAAGAGTATACGGTTAAGTCTCTGTCATTTATGTGTAGGCCGCTAACCTAACAGTGGAGATTTTGCTCCCACACCCCTCATCTGTTCCGTAATTAATATGCTCACATGATTTTCTTTGTTTTTCTCCCTGCCTTTCTGTAAATCCACTGCCTACAACTTACTAAAATAACTATTATAAGACATCACTTGGTGGTTCAGTGGATCAACCCGATTGCCTGTGGGCTCTATGCCCTGATCTATACTCGGTTGGTAAAAACTCATGGTATTACTTTATCACAACAATATTATTTTGAATTTTTTTAAAAATATTAAAATGTTAATCGATTTAAGTTGACTCACCTATCCATAATTCAAATCTTAAATTAAATCAACTTTAAAATTAGATCTTAATTTTTATTCGTGTTTGTTCTACTTGTTTGATTTTCCTTAAGCAACTAAAATTTAGTTATATCTTGATAATATCAATTTAAAAATTAATCTAATCAATATTTTTTTGAAAAATTAAGAAGATGAAAATAAGGAAGAAAATAAATTTGAAGCCCGCTTATTAAGTAATACCATGCAAGAAGGTTCCTCTTATAAAAATATATTTAAAGGGATAATGTAATATTAGCAATATTAATTTTTTAATAAACTTTGCTTATTAAATTATGTAACATTTATTATAAGAAGAGAAATTAAAATTATAGAACATGGATCATATTTAATAAAATAATTATAATTTTAACATTGAGTAATAAGTCATGATTTCATTTTCGAGATGGAACTCATCAGAAGTAACCCCGTTGGAAAAAATTAGCACTGTTGTTCGAATAATAAAAAAAAAATAGTGTGCCGTTAACGATAATATTCGATAATGCAAGGGCATCAGTGTAAAGTTGTACGTTCATTATTGAACAGCACTGCCTGATTAAGTACCCTGAAATGTGTATATAAAACCAAACAAGCATGGAATCAATAGCCCGAGCTTAGTCGATAATATCTTAATTAAAGCCTTAAAGACAATTGCTTTGCGTCCCTCGCTGGCTCTTGTTTCAGCTCCTTCCTCTCTCCAAAACCCCAAGTTGATATATAGTTGATACACACAATTACTCATCGTGACAACATTTGCTAGTTTTATTAGTTCAGCTGAAAGTACCATGGCCATGGCTATAGATGGAGCCCAATTTGAGCTCGACTTTTCCAGCTATAGCAGCATAACCACCACCACAACCCCCACCACTTCCACCGAAAATGACCATGGCTGCAATTGGAATGATTGGTCACCCATGGTCGACTGGGAGGCCTTATCAGGCGCCCAAGATGACTTTCAAGATCTCATCGATTCCATGATGGATGATGGAGCGTTAATGAATCAAAGTAATCGCTTGACACCAGACACAAGCAACTCCATGTCCACAAGTGACACTCTACTTGTGGATGAAGAAACAAGCTGCAGCGACGATTTGAAGGGCTTGCGGCTAGTTCATCTATTGATGGCTGCGGCCGAGGCACTTACCGGTCTAAACAAGAACCGTGATCTGGCTCGGGTGATATTGGTTCGGCTCAAGGAGTTGGTGTCCCCAAATGATGGAACCAACATGGAAAGATTAGCTGCTTATTTCACTGACGCCTTGCAAGGCTTACTAGAAGGCAGTGGAAGTATTCACAGTAATAAACATCTTTCTGCAACCAACAATGGGCCTTACCATCATCACCATCGCGACGATCCTCAACATCATCATCATCAAAGTGATGTTCTTGCGGCCTTTCAGCTATTGCAAGACATGTCGCCTTATGTCAAGTTTGGGCATTTCACTGCCAATCAGGCTATTTTAGAAGCCGTAGCTGATGATAGAAGGATTCATATTGTGGACTACGATATCATGGAAGGGATCCAATGGGCTTCTTTGATGCAAGCTTTAGTTTCCAGGAAGGATGGCCCACCAACCCCACATCTTAGGATCACAGCTTTGTCAAGGGGTGGTAGTGGTAGGAGGTCTATTGGGACTGTCCAAGAAACGGGACGTCGTTTAGTGGCCTTTGCTGCATCAATTGGTCAACCTTTTTCTTTCCATCAGTGTAGGTTGGACTCTGATGAGACATTCAGACCGTCTGCTTTGAAGCTGGTTCGAGGGGAGGCATTGGTTATGAATTGTATGTTGCAGCTCCCTCATTTTAGTTACCGGGCACCCGATTCGGTTGCTTCGTTTTTATCCGGAGCCAAGACATTGAACCCGAGGTTGATAGCCATGGTGGAAGAGGAGGTGGGCCCCATTGGAGATGGAGGGTTTGTGAGCCGGTTCATGGACTCATTGCACCACTACTCTGCCTTTTATGATTCTCTGGAGGCGGGTTTCCCGATGCAGGGTCGGGCTCGCGCTCTAGTTGAGAGAGTGTTTTTGGGGCCCCGAATTGCTGGGTCATTGGCTCGGATCTATTCGGCGCGTGGAGAAGAGGGTAGCTCGTGGGGAGAAAGGTTGGCTGCGGTGGGGTTTCAGCCAATCAAAATAAGCTTTGCCAATCATTGCCAGGCGAAGCTTTTACTGGGGCTTTTCAATGATGGGTACAGGGTGGAGGAATTGGCTAGCAACAGGCTTGTCCTAGGTTGGAAATCTAGACGTTTACTATCCGCCTCTATTTGGACCTCTCCTTCTGACCCTGATTTGTAAATCGGTTGCTCCTCCCCTTTCACGGCTCTCCCCCCAACCTCCAAGCTGTCTTTTTTTGAACCTTCTCAGCCAAAATGAACGAGAATGTGCAGCGATGTGTACTGAGCATCAATTTGTTGACTTGGTTTTAGGTTTTTTAGTTTAAGCGGCATGTAAGATAAAAATAAGAATAGCGACTTTATGTTTGAGAATTTTAAGAATTCTGTCCACTGTGCTTTTTTTTTTTTTAAAAAAAAAATAAGAACTCAAAAATAAAAAGCAATCGGTTTCGCTGTTGTCAAGTTCCGCGTTGATTTTGATTTAGAGTCTAAAAAAAAATAAGAACTCAAAAATAAAAAGCAATCGGTTTCGCTGTTGTCAAGTTCCGCGTTGATTTTGATTTAGAGTCTGTTTATTTCTCATTATAATAATAATTATTTTTAAAATATTTTTTATTTATAAATATATTTAAATAATGCTTTATAACTGTTAATTAATCCCCTTCAGTTAAAGAAATAAGAGGACAAAATACGGTTTCCAAGCTAACATAGAGTATATTTGATATTTTTTTTATATCAGTATATTAAAATTATCTGAAAAACCTATAAAATATTAATTTAAAATAAGAAAACAAAATAATTTTATTTTTTCTAAATTTTTTTAATTACAAAAACAATCGGATAGATAAGCATTATTAATATGTAATGCCACGAAGGGTACATTGTTCTCCCCCAGAACAAAATGTAACGGAGAGAGGGTTTGTTGGTGAACGGCGTATCCCCCTCCTCCGCTGTGTAATCCTGCCTTAATCAAGGGCGGATCACAATGCACACTGAAGCCCCACCGATGTTTTTCATCGAAATAAAGGCAATTTTAGTCTTTTACCGATCAGCATAGTGGCATGCTTACTCCTTGTCTTTCGGACCAAGATTCTTAAGCAATTTGGGGACGTCATGCAAGAAAGATCCGACAATTTTCTATCATCAGCAATTAGGGCATTCCCCCTTGCTTCACATAATACAAAACCTCAACAACGATGTTTTACCTCGTATATTCCTCGGTTATGCGCTTAGACCGCCAGCTCCCTGCCCTGTATCATCTTAGGCTGCGGATCACCTTTTCCGTTCAAACTACATATATAAAAGACGAGCAACAATTTGATGTACAGTGATATTATTCAGTCAAGTATTAAACTATCGGTGTACACGTTGTCATAAGAAGGAAGCCTAGGCAGCTCGACTTCTACACAGTAATTAATCAGCAATATATTAATGTTCAGCGCACATGACAAGATTCTTCCTCCGAGCCATTGTATTAATTTCAATTATGTGATTGCGCTTTTATATCAGGTATTTTACCTCTAAATACTTCCCCACTGGAATAATACCGCCTCTTCCTCTTACTGAACATTCCAAAACTCCCACATATTTCACTATAGCTCCACATATCAATTTTCTTTCTTTTTCCGTCCTCAATTTTATTTTATTTTTTGCAACCATCATTCATTTTTTGTTACCTTTCAACTCTTGACATGAAGAGAAAAGAAAAAAAGTTGCTCGAAAACAGCAAGAAAAGAAAAATTATCTGTTTAGCGTTTTTCAATTAAAAAATTTATTATTTTTTATGTCAATATGTTTTATTAAAAAAATTAAATTTTATAAAAGTGATTCTTTTTGCTCTACACTTGCCTCAGAGTAGATTTCGACGTAAAAAGCTTTTTATCAATTCATGTTGAACTTCATCTTCCCTTTTTTTTTTTTGAGTTTGATTTAGGATTATTATATGGTTTAGAAAAAGTTTCATGTTGTTGTTTAATTGTCTCTGAGTCAAGAATTAAATTTTATATCCAAAAAATATCCCTCCCAGTTTTCTGGTCAGATTGAGACATGTCAACTAGTTCTTTTTTTTTTTTGGAGCAAAAGCAAATGTTTTTCTTTAAAATTAAGTTGTTAACCAATTGTTTGTGTGTCTGAGTTGTTAATGCGTTGGATTTAAAATTTGTTGACCTTCCCCTGAAGTTGCGAATCAAGCTATCAACGTTTGCATTTTTAGGTTTTTTACTTGTTTATTCCTTCTTTTTAGCTATGATATGACATGAAATGTCTGTCCAATCGACTACAATATAAAACACGTACCTAATTAATCACACAGAGCATCACTTCGTAGACAAGCCTAATTAATCACACAGAGCATCACTTCGTTGACAAGACCCAAAATTCATTATTCGAATTAAATAATAATAATAATAACAACAATAACAACAACAACAACAACAATAATAATAATAATAATAATACAGAGATAACTCTACAACGAGTGATAACAAATATTTTAAATAATTAAATAGAGAAAGACTAGATTATTTTCCATCCCTTTTTTTTCATACAAGTGATATTTTTTAAGCACCATTAATGCGAGTTCAAGGACAGTACTCATAATTTATACATTAATTATTCGTGTTTGAGAAACTAAAACATGAATTATAAAAATATCTTTTTCATATTATAGATTGTGATTTTTTGCAAGACTTTTTTTTATTAGGTTTTGCTTCATATTATAGATTGTGATTTTTTGCAAGATTTTTTTTTATTAGGTTTTGTTTATTTTTTTTTCATTTAATATTAATTAATTTTGAATTAATTCTTATATTTTATTTTAAATTATTTTTTATAAAATTATTTCAGTATCAAATAAATATTATAGGATTAATAAGTTAATATAATTGGTCTATATTGATTTAATATATTATTATTTTGCGTATTTGTATGTTTTATTAGTAGATTAATATAATTGATCTAAATTGATTTAATATATTATAATTTTACCTATTTATATGTTTTTTTTTAAATCTAGATTTTTTTGTTATTTGATTTTTTAATAAAAAAATATTTTAATTTAATTGGAGCGCCAGACAGTACCTGGCTTGCCTTTCTTCTGATACCGTCTTGTTGCGTATACAAGGCAAAAGAGTGGCGTGATCAGGCTCAATTTCACTGAAATAAACTCTCTGTTTTTTCCCTGCAAGGGACTCAAACTATCATCAATGAAGACCCGCTATTCTGAAACGATGCCGGCCTTTTCATGAAAGCCCAAACCATTCTTAGGTGGGCTAGACCCAGATTCTTTGGGCTTTAGTCCATGCTATCGAGTTCTAATCTTCCGGGCTCCAGACAAATTTAGATTCACTCAGATTTTTTGTTCTTCCACGAAGTTGTTTATTGAAGTAATATTTTCAAAAAAATATGTTTGTCCGCTTATATTAAATTGAGTGATGATAGGCAGAACCAAAAAAACGCTCAATTATATTTATAAGTAATATAATGTGGATGGATAAAAATGTTTTCTTTTTTATGTAGAAATATTTTGGAAAAATAAATATTTTACTTAATTATTTTTATTTTTTCTTTTTAGTTTAATTTTTTTCTATATTTGTTTTTCTATTCAGTATTATTTTAATTTTTTCTTTTGACTGGAATAGTTTTTCTATTTTTATTTATCTATTCAATATTATTAAGGTTTTTCACTCTTACTGTACAAATGGATGTAATAATGTTTTGATAAATTTTTTACTTGTAAGAAACCTCATGATTGTTATATATGGGCTTTTTCTACAAAACAAGTCCTAGTTTGGAATAAGAAACCTTCTTATACTCATATAAACATGGGAATAGTGTAGTATGTGAATCAAATTGAAAAAATATGGGAAGAGGTGAAGAGAGATTATATGTATAGATTGTATATGAAATCTAAGACCTGAAGCATAGAACTTGTATGGTCCTAGTTTTTTTTTTTTTTTGATTTATGTGGAGTGTCCGGGCCAGCTTGAGCGCACCACAACTAATCCCCACGGCCCACTGAATACCCTGCAAACCCAGTAGACATGTAAGGCACCGCGGGGGTGACAGGCGTGCACGCTAGGGCTCGAACCCAGGTGCAGTGGAAGGAGACAAGCCCTTTCCACCGCTAGGCCAAGCCCTAGTTTGCCGGTCCTAGTTTTCTTTCATGGTAACTTGGTGTATTTATACATTTAATTCTTCGAATTATTTTATGGAGAAGGAAAATATTTTTTAGAAAATTAAGTTATGAGATGTTGTGTTATGTTCGTTACTAGTTGCTAAATGTATATATTAGAGGTAATATTTTTTTTAAAAAAATTCTATTGAGTGATTATTGTGTCATATGTTCTATTGATAAAAAAATAGTCAGTGATATTGTGAAAAAAAATAACATTGGTGGAGAAAAGCGATCTTCATGATATGTGATTAAAAAAATATGTTTACCTGAAAAGTTTGTGTATGACTCTCGAACTTAAACAAAATGGACAAAGATGCGTGCATGACATGGCTCAATAATGAAGTAAAGAAAGAAAGGGAGGGAAGGTGAATTGTTTTTCATGGTATATGTAGTTTTTTGCCATGCAAATTAGCTATTGTCGAGTCATTTAGGTCAAATCAAAATAACTATATTTTAAAAAAATATTCTATACACCGTCAGCTCCCAAGTCTTTTCATTTCATAAGGAAATTTTAAATACTTATGTACTTAAAAGAGTATTTTCACTAAAAGTACATAAATATGGAGACATATGTGTGAGCAAACATTATATGGAGATTTTCATAATCATTATTTTAAAGATGTGAAAATCTTTTATGGAGACATGGATGGAGCTTTTCCTAGGTAACTTGGAGATGTTCATGAAGGCTTTGTTAGAGTTGTAATAATTCAATTCTAGTTCCCTCAAAAATTTCTTTTTATTTTATTAGTTTTTAATTTTTATTAAAAAAAGAACAAAAACATTAAAAAAATTAAAAATTAAAAATATTTTTTCTCAGTTCAATCACCATATTACCATTAAAACTTGGCACATCAGGTTAACACAAGTCAAACCATGTCATCAAGGTAAAAATGAGTTTTAAGCCATTTTAGATCAAAATTGTTATTTTCGGTGAAAATCATCATTTTCAATCAAGAATGAATTTCAGGTTGTTTTGGGTCAATATGAATCAAACAATATCGACAAGGGTAAAAATTTGAATTTCAAGTTGTTTCGAGTGAAAAGCGAGTCCTCCAAATCAAAACGAGTCAATTCAGGTTAAGTAGGGTCAAAAATGAGTTTTGGCCCATTTTGGATCAAAACCATCATTTAGGTCAAAATTGAGTCCATCGGGTTGATGTTAATCGAAAAATAATTTTGAGTTTTAAGTTAGTTTTTAGTAGTTGAAATGAACTTTTTCTAATATTAATTTGAGTTTTTTATTTTACCCCTAGATGTATATTTTTTTATTATATATATAGTAA